ATTTAATTTAATTTAATTTAATTTAATTTAATTAAATTAATTAAATTAATTAAATTAATTTAATTAATTAAATTAATTTAATTAATTTAATTAAATTAATTTCTCACAATTCCCGAGAAAGCGCCGTAGGCGAGAAAAGGAAGTTTGCGCAAAGTCCGTCCCGAAACTCCTTCGCAGTTTTCGATTATTTCTTTCATCAATTTTTCATTTCTGAACAATTCAAATAATTAAAACTATTCTGCTGCTGCTGCTGCTGCTGCTGCTGCTGCTGCTGCTGCTGCTGCTGCTGCTGCTGCTCACTCGCTGGCTTCTGGGCCCTGCAGCGGAGAGCAGCAAATGAGAAAGAAATGTCTTTTTCGAAAAGTTTAAACTTGGTATTATATTAAATTAAATTAAATTAAATTAAATTAAATTAGATTAAATTAAATTGAATTGAATTAAATTAAATTAAATTAAATTAAATTAAATTAAATTAAATTAAATTAAATTAAATTTTGTGACTCACGGGGGGAAAAGAAAGTCTTGTGGGGGCCTCCGGCTGGACGAGCTTCGCGCGGATCTGAAGTGGAAAGCATTAAAAGAAAAGAAAATTAAAAATAAAATAAATCTTTTTTGAAATTAAATTAAATTCAGAATTAAATCTTTTTTGAAATTAAATTAAATTAAATTCAGAATTAAATCTTTTTTGAAATTAAATTAAATTCAGAAATAAATCTTTTTTGAGATTAAATTAAATTCAGAATTAAATCTTTTTTGAAATTAAATTAAATTAAATTAAATCTTTTTTGAAATTAAATTAAATTCAGAATTAAATCTTTTTGAAATTAAATTAAATTAAATTCAGAATTAAATCTTTTTGAAATTAAATCTTTTTGAAATTAAATTAAAATCTTTTCCGAATTAAATCTTTGCATGCAACGAAGTGCTTTGGTTAAATCCGATCTTGAACTGAACTGAGTCCAGAAGAGACTTGAAATGCAGCAAAATGATTTTAATTTGAACTCTTTTATCAAAACAAAATAAATAAATAAATAAATAAATAAATAAATAAATAAATAAATAAATTAATTAATTAATTAATTAATTAATTAATTTAATTAATTAATTAATTAATTAATTAATTAATTAATTAATTAAATTAATTAAATTTAACTCGCCAGTTCTTCAACGCAGCTTTCCAGAATTGCAAATCTGCAATTTGCATTTGGGCGGGGTATGTACAGCTTGAGGTCGGCGCGGTCCAGAAACGCCGGATCGCAGCTTTCTGCAAAAATAAAATAAATTAAATTCAAATTTAAATTAAAATTAAATTCAAATTTGAATTGAAAATGAATTAAAATGAATTGAAATGAATTAAAATGAATTAAAATGAATTAAAATGAATTAAAATGAATTGAAATGAATTAAATTGAATTAAAATGAATTGAAATGAATTAAAATGAATTAAAATTGAATTAAAATGAATTAAAATGAATTAAAATTGAATTAAAATGAATTAAAATTGAATTAAAACGAATTGAAATGAAGTAAAATGAATTAAAATGAATTAAAAATGGATTAAAATGAATTAAAATGAATTAAAATTGAATTAAATTGAATTAAAATGAATTAAATTGAATTAAAATAAATAAAAAAGAAATTTTATTTCCGCAAATCTTTTCAATTCAGTTGCAGCGCCGGAAAGCTCTCGAGACACTTTTCCGAAAATTTGAAGATTTTAACTTTTTGAAAACTCAAAAGTTTATTTATTTTTATTTCTTTTTATTTATTTTTATTTCTTTTTATTTCTTTTTATTTATTTTAATTTCGTTTTATTTATTTTTAAATAAATAAAAACAAATAAACAAAAAAGGCCTTTGACGCCCCAAATTGCAGTTTTGCAAAAAGCAAGTCGGAGGCAGCTGAGAAGCCCGAAGAGGGAAAGAAGAGGAAAAAGAAAAGAAAAAATAAAAAAGATTAAAATGAAAAGAAAAAATAAAAGAAGATTGAAATGAAAAGAAAAGAAGATTAAAATGAAAACAAAAACACAAAAGAAGACTAAAATGAAAACAAAAGAAGACTAAAGTGAAAACAAAAGAAGACTAAAATGTAAACAAAAGAAGACAAAAATGAAAAAAAAACAAAAGAAGACCAAAATGAAAATAAAAACAAAAGAGGATTAAATGAAAAGAAAAACAGAAGATTAAAATGAAAATAAAAACAAAAGAAGATTAAATGAAAAGAAAAACAAAAGAAGATTAAATGAAAAGAAAAGCAAAAGAAGATTAAAATGAAAAGAAGAAAAGAAGACTAAATGAAAAGAAAAACAGAAGATTAAAATGAAAAGAAAAGCAAAAGAAGATTAAATGAAAACAAAAACAAAAGATTAAATGGAAATAAAAACAAAAGAAGATTAAAAGAAAAAAAAGAAGATGAAAAGAAAAAAGAAAATGAAAAGAAAAAAGAAAAAGAAAAGTTGTGAAGTGTTCTGACCTGGCAAGTTGGAAGTGGTGAGAATAATTCCGTTTGGACTTTTGCAGAAAAGGTCGATTTGAGTGAGAAGGGCATTGACTGCGCGAGCTGCGTCTGCAGGTTCTGCTGCTGCTGCTGCTGCTGCTGCTGCTGCTGCTGCTGCTGCTCGCGCTGCAGCAAGCGCCTCGACCTCGTCAATCAGCAGCACCAAAAACAGGCCTTGCTGCTGCATGCGCTGCAGCAGCAAATCGAAAACCCTCACCACCAACTTCCCAGACTCTCCAAACCATTTCGAAAAAAGAAAAGAAGAATTCAAAGACACAAAAAGAAAAGTTTTGAACTTCCGGCTGAGACGAATGGCCAGCTGCTGCCCCAGCCCTTTGCACAAAGAAGTTTTTCCTGAAATAAAAAACTTTAATTAAATCCAAATTCAAAAAAAATAATACAAGTTGAACTGCTGTAGCTTCAACGCCTCGCTGCAGCAGCAGCAGCAGCAGCAGCAGCAGCAGCAGCAGCAGCAGCAGCAGCAGCGGCAGCAGCAGCAGCAGCAGCAGCAGGCAGCAGCAGCGCTCACCGCTTCCGGGGGGCCCGTGCAGCAGCAAGACTCGGTTCCAAGTGATGAGCTGGAGCAGCAGTTTCAAAAAAGGACTTGAAGTTTGAATTTGAAAAGGAATATTTGATGGAAATGAAATTAAAAGATTATTTGAAATTATAAAAAGATTATTTGAAATTATAAAAAGATTATTTGGAATTATTTTAAAGACTTTTAAAACAATTTCTCACGCTGGAGTCGACGCTGCTGTCGGCAAACAGCAAAGCTGTGAAGGCGTAGTTCAAAAGAGTCTTTTTGGTTTTTTTTTCGAAGTGCAAATTCGCCCAAAGGCCCTCAAAGTCTGCGTTCGGCAGCAGCCACTGCTGCAGCACTTTTCCACTTTCTGCTTCACTTCCCAAGTCCAGGGGGCCCCCCTCGAGGGGCCCCTGGAGGGGCCCCTGGAGGGGCCCCTGGGGGCCCTGGAGGGGCCCCTGGAGGGGCCCCTGGAGGGGCCCCTCGTGCAGCAGGTAGGGCAGCACGGCGAAGCGGGCCTGGCAGTAGGGAAACAGCAGCGGCGCCGCTTCCGTCGAGCTGCTGCTGCTGCTGCTGCTGCTGCTCGCAAAGGCCGCAGCAAACGGCCCGCTGCAGCCCCCAGCAGCAGCAGCAGCAGCAGCAGCAGCAGGCAGCAGCAGCGGGCTGCTGCGCGCGCCCAGCGGCTCTATGCGAATGGAACTGCAGCAGCGCGCCAGCAGCGGAACGCCCACGCGCTGCGGGTCGTGGCCCCCCAGCGCCACCGTCAGCCCCGAAGAGCCCAACCAGCTGTTTGCTGCTGCAGTTATTTCGGAAAAAAGATCTTTTGCGAAAGTTTTGCAGCCGATTGCGCAGCAGAAGTCCACCTTGGGCACTTTCGTGCAGGGGAGGCCGCGCGCGCCCGACGCCGCCGTGCTCGCGCGATTCGCCGCCACCGGAGTCGGAAACTCCATTTATAATTGCAAAAAACAAAATAAGAATCAAATAAACTCCAAATTCCACAGCTTTCCACAAAGTCTTTGCAGAAAACCGAAGATTCAACTTCGAGGCTGCGCGCTGGAGCGCAGCTGTACGTACACCTCAGATCGCAAGCGCACACGCACTGCTTTCCGCGACGAAAATGGCCGCGAAAAAGTGGAAACTGATCATAAAGCTTGGGAAACTTGAAGGAAAACATGAAATCTTTGCAGACCAGATCAAAAGGACTAATTTAAATCCTTTTCTGTTCTTTTTTGCCGCTTCTCTGTTGCGCAAAGGCCTCAAATGCGCTTTCTCCTTTTTTCTGAAGCCTCTTTTTGCAGAAACCGCCACTTAGTGGCCAAAACTAGAAACTAAGGCTGCAGCTCGTTGCTGCACTTTTGCATGCATGCATGCAGCTGCAATTGGAATTAAATAGAGCTTTCTTTTATTTTTGAGTTGAAGTTCAGTAGTTCGAAACAGATCTGAGACTGCAGCTGCGGGGAAGCTTTCAGTGGAACTGACACTTGAACACAGAGTGCGCGGGCTTTGCGGCGTTAAAAGCTTTTCTAAAACATTAAAAGTGTTCTTTTATTTTATTTTATTTCATTTTATTTATTTTATTTAATTTAAACGAGCTTTCCAGCCGCGTTCCTGCCGCTAGCTCGGCGCTGCAGCGGCTCGCTGCTGCACAGGACATGCAAAGGCAAGACGCGGGAAGCTGAGGGCCTCCGGAAACTGGAAAACGACCCAGCGAGTGAGAATTTAATTTCGAAATAATAAAAATAAACAAAAGATGAAATTCCGAAAACAAAGAACTGCAGCAAACGGGGCTTTGTCCTGACACTGAACTTTGGAGTGCAGCAGCAGCGCCTCGCGGCGAGCAGGCAGCTGCGCAGGTACGTGCAAGTCCGCAGCTGATCTGGGCTCTTTTTTCCAAAATCTGAATTTAAATGCAAATAATAATTGAATTTAAATTTATTTAATAAAATTAAAAACAAAAAGCCCGAAAGAATCCCGCGAACTGCGCGCACCGGACCTCCGCCGACAGCCCACCCGCGTGCAGCGGCGCCTCTCGCGAGGGCGCCGACGACCAGCGGCCTGGGGCTTGTCTGCGGCGCGCCGCAGCAGTTTCTTGAATTAAAAACGCAAATTAAATATATTTTAAACAAAAATAAAGTTATTTTTCTGTAAAGGAAAGCAGATCGGGGCCGGTCAGCAGCAGCAGCGGCCCCCTGTGCATAACCACTGGTGCGCGCGGGAAGCAGAGAGCCCGCCCGAGCCGCCAGACTCATCGCATTTTCGAGTTCAAACGAATGAAATAACAAATAAAACAAATAAATTAATTAAAATAGCAAAAAAAACAAATGAAATAACCACTTTTTGCACAAAAAGCGACGCCAGCTCGCTCTCATCGGCCGCGGCAGCAATGTTTCTTAGCCCCTTTGTCCTGCTGCCCAGCCTGCTCTTGGCGAAGACAGGACCCAAGTTCGTTTTTGCTGCGGACTTGGAGGCAGAAAATGCAGTTGGTGGGTCTCCTGCAGCAGCAGCAGCAGCAGCAGCAGCAGCAGAGTTCTAGCTGCAGCGGCTGCAGAGTTCTGGCTGCAGCAGCAGCAGCGCCGGCTGCAGCAGCAGCACAGCAGCAGCAGCAGCAGCGCAGCCCACTGCGCCCCTGCTTCCTTTGCTTCCGCAGCAGCCAGTTTTAGCCACTGCTGCGCCACCCGAGACAAGCAGCCCTCACTCTCGCCACCCCTGCTGCTGCTGCTGCTGCTGCTGCTGCTGCTGCTGCTGCTGCTGCTGCTGCTGCTGCTGCTGCTGCTGACTGTGCTGCTGCTGCTGCTGCTGCTGCTGCTGCTGCTGCTGCTGCTGCTGCTGCTGCTGCTGCTGCTGCTGTTCTGCTGCTGCTGCTGCTGCTGCTGCTGCTGCTGCTGCTGCTGCTGCTGCTGCTGCTGCTGCTGCTGCTGCTGGTGTTGCTGCTGTTGCTGCTGCTGCGGATACTGTGCAGTTTGGGGCGGTGGCTGCTGCCGCTGCTGAGGATGGCGGCGTGCTGCCAGTTGCTGCCGCCTGCTGCTGCTGCTGCTGCTGCTGCTGCTGCAGCACTTGCATGCATTGCTGCTGCTGCTTGTTTGCCTTTGTTTGGTTCACAGGACACAAAGGAGAGGCTGGCAGGCAAGTGCAGAATGACCACTGCTGCAGCAGAGGTCCACTGGTCCTTTTTGCTGCTTGCTAGCCGCCTTCCCGCGTCCAACAGCGCCTGTCTGCTGCGTCTGCTGCTGCTGCTGCTGCTGCTGCTGCTGCTGCTGCTGCAGGGGTTGTGGTGGAAGACCTGCCGCTGCATGCATGTCAGCAGTTTGTGCAGAAGTTGGACGGGGAGGGTCGGCTGACTCCCGCGGTGTCTGTGCAGCAGCTGCTGCAGCCGGTGGGGGGCGAGCGCGCAGCAGCAGCAGCAGCAGCAGCAGCAGCAGCAGCAGCAGCAGCAGCGGAGCTCACGGACCTCAAGAAGCCCAGCATCACGGCCAGCGAAAGAGACCTGCGGCTGCTGCTGGCCAAAGAACTCCGCTATCTCCTCAGCAGCAGCAGCAAAGAAGCAGCAGCAAAAGAGCTGCTGCCTTTTAAAAAAGCAGAAGCAGCAGCAAGACTGAAGCAAATATCTTTGCTGCTGCAGCGGCTGGCGCTGCTGGGGGCCCGCTACGAGCAGCAGCTGCTGCACAGCCTGCGCGGCAGCAGCAGCAGCAGCAGCAGCAGCAGCAAAGTCCGGAAAATAACAAAGTTGTTTATTACCAACATTACAGAAGAAGCAAAAGAATACTTAATAGCTCCCGATTTCTTTTCTCCGCAGCTGCAGCAGCTGCTGCTGCTCGTGCTGCAGCTGCAGCCGCAGCAGCTGCTGCTGCAGCGGCAGCAGCTGCAAGCAGCAGCAGATGCTTACATGCTGAATCTGGCAATGGACAAGAAGGCAGCAGCACGCAGCTTCTTCGCGCACGTGCAGCAGCTGCAGCAGCAGGACGTGCTGCAGCAGCAGCAGCAGCAGCAGCAGCTGCTGCTGTCCGACGCAGAAGCAGAACTTGTCCTCGATATTGTTGCGCTGCTCTGGGACTCTTATTATAACCACAGTGTGGAAATAATAGAAGCTTTAAAGTTTAGAGAAAATGGAGTTTCGGGTCTCTCTTGGCTGCAGCAAGCCCCGCTGGCGAGGGTTTCGCTGCTGCTGCCCAGCTGCAGGCTGCTGCATGCAAGCAGCAGCAAACCCCTCACTTTTGCTGCAGCAGGCAGCTTCGCAGTGAGTTTGGAGTTCAGGGACTTCTTCAGCAGCAAAGCAGCAGCAGCAGCAGTAGCAGCAGCAAACCCGCAGCAAACTGCAGCAGCAGCAGCAGCAGCAAACCAAAAACCGGATCCTCTCTTTTCTCTTGTCATCAATCAACTCACTCCTCAAGACCTCAACAACCTCTTCAGCCTCGCAGACGAACCCGTCCAAGTCGAATCCAGTGAGGGTTTAGGGTTTAGGGTTTAGGGTTTAGGGTTTGGGGTTTAGGGTTTGGGGTTTAGGGTTTGTGCTGCTGCTGCTGCAGCACTGGAGCTGATGCAGCTAACTCCTGTTGCTGCCAGTTCGCTGCGGCAGTCTTTTTCGCTTGAAGAGCAGCAGGCGCCTTCCCTTAAGCAACTCCTTGGTGAGCTAGCTAGCCAGCTAGCTAGCCAGCTAGCTAGCCAGCTAGCTAGCCAGCTAGCTAGCTAGGTAGCTAGCTAGCTGGCTAGCTGGCTAGCTAGCTAGCTAGCTAGCTAGTTGTTGTGTGGCTAGCTAGCTAGCTGGCTAGCTAGCTAGCTAGTTGCTGTCCGGCCAGCTAGCCAGCCAGATAGCTAGCTAGCCAGTTAATCGTGCAGCTAGCTGGCCACTCACCCGTGTGGCTAGCTAGCTAGCTAGCCAGCTAGCCAGCTAGCCAGCTAGCTAGCTAGCTGGCCAGCTAGCCAGCTCTGGGTGCAGCTAGCTATCCAGCTAGCTGCGCAGCTAGCGAGGCTCGTGGGGCTTGCGTGTGCTGCGGGTTTGTGCAGGAGTGCCTGCTGCTGCTGCTGCTGCTGCTGCTGCTGCTGCTGTGGATAAGCGACTCTTTGAGGGAATATTTTTGGGGTCGCGTTTGGAGTTGAGGGCCCTTTTGAATGTGGAGTTGTCTTTGCTGCTGCGGCGCATGCAGCAGCAGCAGGGCTAGCTGGCTAGCTAGCTAGCTAGCTAGCTAGTTGTTGTGTGGCTAGCTAGCTAGCTGGCTAGCTAGCTAGCTAGTTGCTGTCCGGCCAGCTAGCCAGCCAGATAGCTAGCTAGCCAGTTAATCGTGCAGCTAGCTGGCCACTCACCCGTGTGGCTAGCTAGCTAGCTAGCCAGCTAGCCAGCTAGCCAGCTAGCTAGCTAGCTGGCCAGCTAGCCAGCTCTGGGTGCAGCTAGCTATCCAGCTAGCTGCGCAGCTAGCGAGGCTCGTGGGGCTTGCGTGTGCTGCGGGTTTGTGCAGGAGTGCCTGCTGCTGCTGCTGCTGCTGCTGCTGCTGCTGCTGTGGATAAGCGACTCTTTGAGGGAATATTTTTGGGGTCGCGTTTGGAGTTGAGGGCCCTTTTGAATGTGGAGTTGTCTTTGCTGCTGCGGCGCATGCAGCAGCAGCAGCTGGACCTGGCTGCTGCTGCTGCTGCTGCTGCTGCTGCTGCTGCGGGGGGCAGCGAGGCTGCTGCAGCAGCAGCAGCAGCAGCAGCAGCAGAGATGCAGGGCGAGCTGGAGGCCTGGGCAGCAGCAGTGCAGCAGGAGAAAGCAGCAGCGCAGCAGCTGCTGCAGCAGCAACTGGAAGCAGCAGCAGCAGACCCGAACTTTGCTGTGGGGTCTTTTTTCTACAGCGAAGAAGCAGCAGCAGCAATTCTGGAAAGCCCCGCGTACAGCAGCAGCAGCGCAGCAGCAGCAGCAGCAGCAATGAGTGCAGCGCAGCAGCTGCGGCGGCCCGCGTGGGCCCTCCAACTGAACCCCCTGGCGCTGCAGCGCGCGCAGCTGCTGCTGCTGCAGCAGCCCCGTTTGCTGCTGACTCCGCAGCAAGCTTTGAAGCAAAATGTTCTTCTTTTTTCCGGAAAACAAATAATTAAAAAAAGAAACTTTTTGGAAAAAGTTTCTCTCGTGCTGCAGCTGACGGCGCGCATGCACAGCAGGTTCACTGACAACTTGGCTGCGCTGCTGCCCCACACTCTCCGCAGCAAGCTGCTGCAGGTCCTCAGCAGCAGCAGCAGCAGCAGCAGCAGCAGCAGCAGCAGCAGCAGCAGCAGCGGCGGCGTTGAAGCGGCGCTGATCGAGGAGGTCTTCGACTCTCTGGGCTTCGTGTCTGCGTTCCGCGCTGCAGCAGCAGCAACAGCAGCAGCCGAGCAGCAGCAGCAGCAGCAGCAACAGCAGCAGCAGCAGCAGCAGCGGCAGCTGATAATGCTGCAGCTGCTCGACAAGAAAAACCGCTTGATCTTGTTCAAGCCTGCTGCTGCTGCTGCTGCGGGCAGCAGCAGCAGCAAACGAATTGCTGCTGTAGAGGTGCGCTTTTCTCCTTTCACAATTTGCTGCTTCTCTCTCAAACCCCACAAACACAAACCCCAACTCGCTAGCTAGCTGGCTAGCTAGCTAGCTAGATAGCTAGCTAGCTAGCTAGCCAGCTAGCTAGATAGCTGCGCGGGTGTCTGGCTAGCTCTCTATATAGCTAGCTGGCTGTGCGGATGGCTGGCTAGCTGGCTAGCTAGCTGGCTAGCTAGCTGGCTAGCTAGCTAGGTAGCCATCTGCCTGTTATCTAGCCAGCTAGCTATATGACTAGCTAGCTAGCTAGCTAGCTAGCTAACTGGCTAGCTAAGTGGCTAGCTAGCTGGCTAGCTAGCTGCGTGGCTAGCTGGCTAGCTGGCCAGCATTTTCTTTTGCTTTTTGCGTTTTGTGTCTCTCAGACGCCCTACTTCTTTGCTGCAGCAGCAGCAGCAGCAGCAAACGATCTTGCTGCTGCTCTCAACAGCCGCAGCAAAAGCAGCTGCTGGCTGCGGCTGCTGCCGCTGCAGCTGTGGGAAGTGGGGCCCCTCAGCATTCCGAGTTAGTTAATTTTATTTATTTATTTATTTATTTATTTATTTATTTATTTATTTATTTATTTATTTATTTATTTATTCATTTATTTATTATTTAATTTGTCTATTTATTTAATTGTTTGTTTGTTTTTTGCGGTTTTTGGCTGTTTCGAGTGGTTCGCTTCACGCTTAGCTCTAAACCCTAAACCCTAAACCCTAAACCCTAAACCCTAAACCCCAAACCCCAAACCCTAAACCCTTTAATTCAATTCAACTTAATTAAATTAAATTAAATCAATTTTGTCTGCAGCACCGACGCCGCCGCTACGATTCGTTCAGCGCTTGAAGAGGCTGTGGCAGAAAATCCGAAGTACGCCTAGGGTTTAGGGTTTAGGGTTTAGGGTTTAGGGTTTAGGGTTTGGGGTTGGCTTCTTCATGTATAGGCCAAAAGCAAATAAATGAACACACAAAAATAATAAAAAGCATTATAAATGAGAAACGAATAGTTCATTCAGCGATTTAACTGTTTTTCTAGGGTTTAGGGTTTAGGGTTTAGGGTTTAGGTTTTAGGACGTACGTTTAAGATTTAGTGTTTAGGGTTTAGGGTTTGCGTTTTGCTGCTGCAGGGAAGCCGACGGAATTCGGTGAGAACCTTTTGCTGCTCCTTGGATTGTTTGTTTGTGAATCAGTTCAAAAGAGCAAAGAAACCCTTTAGGGTTTAGGGTTTAGGGTTTAGGGTTTAGGGTTTAGGGTTTGGCGGATTTGGGTGGTTTTTGGCGGTAAATGGGTCATTTTTTCTGGATTTTTCAGCAAATAGATTAAAAAAGGATTTAAATGTTTATTTGTTTTTCATTTAATTCCTTTTTCCCTCTTTTTTGTTTTTTTTAGTTGGATTTGTGAAGACAGAACTCACCGAAGGCCCCGCCAAAGAACTCGCCCGCAGCTGCATGCGCGCTGCAGCAGAAAGCCCCAAAGAGGATGCATGCGTTCCCACAAGCCCCGACTTCGTCAAGTAATAAATTTAAATAAATAAATAAATAAATAAATAAATAAATAAATAAATAAATAATAAACAAACAAATAAATAATAAACAAATAAATAATAAATGAACAAATAAATAAATAAATAAATAAGCAAATCAAATAATTAATGGAAGATTTATTTATTTATTTATTTAAATTTTTAATGAAAAGAAAACGAATGAGTTATGCCAATTGCGGCTGCAGCAGCAAAATTAATTAATTTCAAAATTTAAATAAATTGCAATTTATCAATTAGTTTATTTTAATTTTAAAAGTTTATTTAATTGTTTTTAATCAGTTTAATAGTCTTTTACTCTGCATGCATTGAAAACAGTCAAGGGTTTAGGGTTTAGGGTTTAGGGTTTAGGGTTTAGGGTTTAGGGTTTAGGGTTTAGGGTTTAGGGTTGGGGGTTTAGGGTTTAGGGTTTAGGGTTTAGGGTTTAGGGTTTAGGGTTTAGGGTTTAGGGTTTAGGGTTTATGCAGGGCGCGGGAAACACCCCCGCGTTGGTGAACAGTTTGTTGACTTCGCTGTGCAACATTTCGCCCTTCTTTAGGGTTTAGGGTTTAGGGTTTAGGGTTTTAGGGTTTAGGGTTTAGGGTTTAGGGTTTAGGGTTTAGGGGGGTTTAGGGTTTAGGGTTTAGGGTTTAGGGTTTAGGGTTTAGGGTTTAGGGTTTAGGGTTTAGGGTTTATGCAGGGCGCGGGAAACACCCCCGCGTTGGTGAACAGTTTGTTGACTTCGCTGTGCAACATTTCGCCCTTCCACAAGGGCCCGTGGTTTATGGTTGAGGGTTTAGAATGTACAGTTTCCGCTCAGGAGTAAAGAACACACGAGCAAGTATTTAGTGCCTAGCGTCTAGGGTTTAGGGTTTAGGGTTTAGGGTTTAGGGTTTAGGGTTTGGGGCGTGGGTTTTGCCGCAGGTGTTTGACAGCAGCCGTGCTGCGCTGCAGCGCAGCAGACACTGCATGCAGCAGCAAAGTGGAGGGTTTTGCAAACCTCCATTTGGAAATGCTGCAGAGGGTTTTTTTGGATTTGCAAAACCCTCAAACAAACCCTCAAACCTTTTTCGAAAAACCCCCCTGGACCCGAGCCCGCCACTTCCTCCGAGACGCCATCCAGGCCAGCGGTAAACCCTAAACCCTAAACCCTAAACCCTAAACCCTAAACCCTAAACCCTAAACCCTAGACCCTAAACCCTAAACCCTGCCGCTGATTTTAGCCGAAGCTGGGAAGCGCAGTGCGTGGCGACTCGGGGCTTTCGCTGCGAGGCCTGCCGGGCCCGGCGCGCAGGGTTTAGGGTTTAGGGTTTAGGGTTTAGGGTTTAGGGTTTGGGGTTTGGTGCAGGCGAGACTTTGAGCGCGGACGAACGGGAGGCTTTGCTAAACCCTTTCGTGCACAAGTTCGGGGCCCCTGCTGCTGCCAACTTCCGGGGTTTGCATTTATTGAAAATGAGATCTTTTTTATTTCTTTTTCAAAAAGATTTAAATGCAATTAAATGTCTAAACTCGCTGCTGCAGCAAACCCTCAACTCCCTCTCCGCCAGCTGCGCCGCGGACATCGCCCGCGCCTTCAGCCGCTTCCTCAAGGAACCCGGTGAGGGTTTAGGGTTTAGGGTTTAGGGTTTAGGGTTTAGGGTTTGGGGTCTGGGGTTTGGGGTTTAGGGTTTGGATTTAGGGTCTAGGGTTTAGAGTTTAGGGTTTGGGACTGCAGGTGCCGTTCTTTTATTCTGCTGCGTGCCGGCGTGGGGTAGCTGCCTCCGCTAAACCCTAAACCCTAAACCCTAAACCCTAAACCCTAAACCCTTTTGTTTGCATTTGCAGAACTAGACGAAGAAGGTGAATTGGCTTTACAGCGAGCAGCAAAACGAGCCACAGCGCAACTACGCAGTGTTCAAATAGGTACGGCCCTAAACCCTAAACCCTAAACCCTAAACCCTAAACCCTCACTCTGAAGCCTTAAACCCTAGCTCCTGCATCCCTCTTCAGCTTGCCCGAGCAGCAGCAAAGCATCCCACCCACAAGCAGCAAACCCGCATGCATCTCCCCCGCTGCTGCTGCTGCTGCTGCCGCTGCTGCTGCTGCTGCTGCTGCTGCTGCTGCTGCTGCTGCTGCTGCTGCAGTGGACGAAGTGAACCCTGCGCGGATAGCTGCGGAGCTGCGTCGCGTGCATGCGCTGGACTTCAAATCTTTTTATGACTTTTTAATTCTTCCAATGAAAGACTTTTCATCTTCTGCTGCTGAAAAGGAGACTCTGGGGTGGTGTCTGTACACCCTGGCGCAGCAAAACGCCCGCAGCAGCAGCATGTTCGCCCACGCACGCACTGCAGCAGCAGCAGCAGCAGCAGCAGCAGCAGCAGCAGCGCCTTCCCAGGTCCGCCGCTGCTTCAAAGATGTCTGGGAAGCAGCTATGACTTTCCACAAACCCCAAATGGGGGCCCCCTGGGGGCCCCAAGAGGGGCCCCCCGAGGGGCCCCAAGAGGGGCCCCCAGAGGGGCCCCCAGAGGGCCCCCAGGAAGGCTTCGGCAGCGCCGTGGAGACCAGCAGCAGCAGCAGCAGCAGCAGCAGCAGCAGCAGCAGCAGCAGCAGCAGCAGGAGGGTGCTGAGCAGGTCGGATGAAGTGTTTCGAGCTTCAGTGATGAAAGACTCCTTTTTGCATGTTTTGATTTTGCAAAGATTGGGAGTTTTGATGGAGAATTTATTTAATTTCCGAGAAGCTCTGGCGGTGCGGGAAGGCGCAGCAGCAGCAGCAGCAGCAGCAGCAGCAGCGCCCGCAGCAGCAGCAGCAGCAGCAGCAGCAGCAGCAGCGAAGGCGGCGCTCTTCCGGCGCATGCAGGCGCTTTCCTTCAGCGACTTTGCGCAGCTGCTTCAGGTGTCTGTACACCTGCTGCCTCTCTCTCTGGCTTTTGTTGCTGCAGCAGCAAAAAGAGATATTAGGGTTTTCTACCTCAGCAGCAGCAGCAGCGGGGGGGCCCTCTTCCGCCTGGGGGCCCCCAGCAGCAGCAGCAAACTGTACCCTTTCAGCAGCAGCAGCAGCAGCAGCAGCTTCATCTGCAATCCCCGCTGCAGCCAACTCAGCGCTGCTGTTAATCTCGAGGCCAGAGCCAAAAGAGGTAATTAATTAAATATTATTCAAATATTAATTAATTAATTAATTAATTAATTAATTATTCGTTTATTCATTTATTTATTTATTTATCTATTTATTTATTTATTTATTCGTTTAAATATTTACGTATTTATTATTTGTTTATTTATTTTACTAATTAACTAATTATCCAATTAACTAATTAACTAACTAATAAATTAATTAATTAGACTAATTATTATTTATTTATTTATTTATTTATTTATTTATTTATTTATTTATTTATTTATTTATTTATTATTTATTAATTATTTATTTATTTATTATTTGTTTGTTGTCTGCAGCAATAGCAACTTCGCTGTCGCTGCGGCTGCGGGCGCAGGCGCGGGGCCTCAAGTCTCTTGCTGCAGCTCTGTCCCCTCTTTTGTCTCTTTCTGCTGCCGATTTATTTCTTTCTTTCCAAAACTTCGCAACTTTTCAGCAGCAACAAACCAACTCCATCAGTCCCCAAACCCTCGACATTTGTTCTTTCCATTTCCCCCAAACCAGGGCTTTCCAGGGGGCCCCCCGGGGGGCCCCCCGGGGGGCCCCCCGGGGGGGCCCCCTGGGGGGGCCTCCCGGGCCAGGGGCCCCTGGGGCCGCGGGGGGCCCCTGGGGGGCCCCCTGGGGGCCCTCCGCGGGGGGCCCCTGGGGGGGCCCCTGGGGGGCCCCCGGGGGGGCCCCCGGGGCCCCGGGGGCCCCTCGAAAGAAGGGTTTTTTCTGTGCAATTATGAAAGTGTACCCTTTCGATATGCGCACGAAACCCTGAGGGTTTGCGGGGCGCAAAAAAGGGTTTCTGCTGCAGTTTGGTCGAGTTTTTTTTTGAATTCAAAT